AAAAAACCCGGGGATGGGGGGATTAAAACCCTCGAAGACGAGGGCGCCGGTCTCACTCCCGAGACTTCCGCCAGCCGCAGGAAGCGGATGAGGCGGGAGAAAAGGGAGAGAGCGGCGGATGAAGCCGCGGAGAGGGCCGCGAGCGAGAAGATGGAGGGGGCGCTTGCGGACCCCACGGCGCAGGAGGTGGAGCCGGGCCCGGAAGAGTCCGACGGGGAGGAGTCGCGGCTGGAGCGCATGGAGGATGCGTGCTCCAACTACAGGGCCGGCCTGGAGGGCGAACTAAGTTCGGCCTTTAGGAAGGTCGAGGGGCTGAACAGCTTCGAGCTGGCGGAGTCGGCGCTGGCGTTCGTGGAGGAATACTCCAGGCTCGCTCGACGCCTCATCGTTGGGGAGAACGTGGAGCGGAGGAGGGCCGCCCTCTCTGGAGCAACAGAGAGGGTTCTGGCCACGGTGTACCTCCTGTGGGAACAGGAGTACACCTCCGCACGGCTCGCGGAGGACCTGGAGGAGAAGATGGAGGGGATGGTGAAGAAGCGCCCCCCTCCAAAAAGGCGATCTGGGTGGACGCAGACCGCCCGGAAGACGCGGGAGAGGGCTACCTCTCCCGCGTGGTTATACCCCCCGAGGGTGGTGGCGTGGAAGGCGTCTACGCAGACGCCCCCCCTGCGGGGGAGGCGGGAGAGGGCGACCTCTCCTGTAAAGATGGAGGCTCCGGGGGAGGCGGTGTCCACGCAGACGCCCCTCCCCCGGGAGACTTGGGAGAGGGCGACCTCTCCCGAGAGAGTGACGGGCGAAGATCAGGCCTGTCAGACGGAGGGGGGGGTGTTAGGAACCTCCCCCCCGCTGGAGGAGGTGAAGTCGGCGGCCCCCCTGGCGTGGCCGGATGGCCTCAGGGAAGAGGTCATTCGGCTGGCCGGGGAGGCCGCCGACAGGAGATGTAGGTTCCTGCTGGGGATCCCCTCCAAGGAGGAGACCCCAAAGCAGCGGGATGGTGATAGCGGGGGGGAGGGGGATGGGGAGTCCAGCTCCTGCTCCTCCCCCGTCCCCGCGCAGCCCCGTGAGGGGAAAAGAGGGGGGAGTGGGGGGCAGGCGGGGGTTGGTGTGTCGGGGGGGCGTGATGGGCGAGGAGTCGCCCAACGGCGCGCACGGTCCCGCGCACCGGCCACCGCGGCCGTCTCACTCCTCGTCCCAGAGGGGGACAAGAGAGGGGCGACGTACGCCGCCGTTCTCCGGGCTGCAAAGGAGAAAGTTTCTCTGGAGGGCCTGGGGATCGGCGGCATGACGTGCCGTGGGGCGGCCAACGGGGGTCTCCTGTTGGAGATCCCCGGGGCGGGCAGGCAGGCCAAGGCGGACGACTTGGCCTGCCGGCTCCGGGTCGCCCTGGAGGATATGGGGGTTCGGGTCGCCCGGCCCGGGAAGTTCGCGTCGCTGCGACTGACCGGGCTGGACGACTCGACAACGGAGGAGATGGCCAAGTTGGACATCTCCCGAGAGGGGGGCTGCGGGGCGGGGGAGGTGGGCGTGAGCAAGATCACGCGACACCCCTCTTCCGCCCGGCAGAGAGGCACCGCATGGGTGCGGTGCCCGGCGAGGGTCGCGCACGTAATTGCGCGCACCGGCGCAGTGAGGGTCGGGTTCGCGTGGGCGAGAGCGAAACTCGCGGTGCGACCCGGCCCTCAGCGGTGCTACCGGTGCCTGGTTGTGGGGCACACCCGGGCGGAATGCACCGCGGAGAGGGACCGCAGCGGTAGATGCTACCGCTGCGGTCAGGAGGGGCATGAGGTGGGGGAGTGCCGGGGGAGGGTACCCAAATGTCCGCTGTGTTCGGACTTGGGGATCCCCTCCCGGCACACCCTGGGAGAGAGTGGGTGCTGGCAGGCACCACGAGGCTGTGGCGGGAGGGTGAGGGGCGACCCAACATTCCCTCCCGGCAGACCCCCTTGGAGGGGGTCTGCATCCGAGGGCGAGGGGACAGACGCTAGTCCCCCCTCCCCACAATAGCGGGCACGTCCTGCCCGCAGGGGGGTAGGGGGGCGGGGGAGCTGGTCCTTTGAGTGCGCGTCTGCACTCCCGCCCCCTGCCCTCTCTCCCCCCCGGGGGATTTTTCGCCGGGGTCCTCGGTCCGGCGACGCGAGGGTGGACCCCCCGGTGGGCGGGGGGGGACGCGTTGAGGCGCCTCCCGCCATTATA